GGCCACCACCCTCTCCACCACCTTACTTAGGAAAGAAACATTGGCGACGGGCCTATAATTGCCAATGTTGTCCGCTGCCAAGATCGGTTTCTTTCTAATGGGCCTAATGAGCATTTCCTCAAGAACAGACCCATTTAATATTTTAGTGGCCCATTCAGTTATCACCAGCCTGGCAGTTTGATTAGCCAGGCAGGGCAAGGGTCAAGGGAGAGGTGGTGGTTCAGCAGTGATGAAGGACCTTGACCACCTCTGCGGACATCACAGGTTGAAACTGAGTAATTCTCAATGGACAAGGCACTGCGCTGGATGTCTCAGCTCGATCCACTGTTTTCAAATATGGTGCAAGATCCCGGTGGATGGCCTACACTTTTGATTTTTAAAATGCTGCAAAATGATCACAAGAAATACTAGATGGAGGCCAATCCTTGTGGCCAATTCTGGATAGGTCGTGTACTATATGGAAATGTTCCGACTGCTGATTGGATGCTGCGCTTATCCAGACAGTGAAGTAGGCTTTTCTAGCAGCCTCTACCTTAGCAAGATAGATGTTAGACGCAACCTTGTCAGCTTTTTGGTCATTGTCTGTAGGGATCCACCTCCGGACACTTTCTAGCCTTCTCCTACTGCACTTCATAGCTCACAGCTGCTGGTAAAACCAAGGTGCTGGTCGGGCTCTGCAGCCAAGAGGGCGTTTACGAACAATCATGTCTACAGCCCTGGTGGCAGTGGCATACCGGCCATCCACCAGGGCCTCAACAGGAACGACAGCCAGATCAGTTGGAATCCCATGCATGTCATCCTGGAATCCATTAGGATCCAGTAGCCTGCAAGGGCTGACCATGAAAATAGCTCTCTGCTTCCCACAGGAAGGGAGGGCCACCGTGAGGTTGCATTTTGTCAGGTGGTGGTCCAACCACAAGGGGACCAACCAAAGGTCAGACACCATCGGGCCACACTCTCTCTGCTCAGTGGAAAACCAGGTCCAAATTGTGGCCACCCATGTGTGTGGGGTTGTTGGGACATATCCAAGGAAACCATGGTTTCCAAGAACCCAATTGCCAGACCGGTAACCTCCGCCTCTGGATGGATGTTGAAATCACCCAAGACAATCAGTCTCGGGTATCCCAACAGAACCACGGAGACAAAGTCAGTCAGCTCTTGTGGTTGTTGTGGGTTTTTCAGGCTCTTTGACCATGTTCTGAAGGTTGTTCTTCCTAACGTTTTGCCAGTCTCTGTGGCCATTGGCATCTTCAGAGGATGGCACATATCTTTCCATGCCCATCATCACCTGTATGTTTTTGAAGCCCCCTCTGGAAGGCAGCTCTTGCAGTACGGAGCTCTTTTGTTATGGAATAGCCCTTGTCCCAAACTAGGCAGAGAGCCGTTGTTCCCTTTCACTTCCCCTCCTGCATGCGTACCCTGAAGTGCCATTGCTGAAACTGGGGGATGATGGGCACTTCCTTCCTACTCCTGGGAGAGCCTCCTTCCTTCTCCAGTCCTCTTTCTCACTCTCTCTCTAAGGGGAACATCACAAGGAGAGCCCCTTCCTAAGGATCCACCCCCACCCACTGGGTTTGCCCACATGGTCTCCAAGGTGGCCCTTGTGCCTTGCCTTTGCACCCTGCGCACAGCTCCTCCTTTCTAATGGCCCCCTTCTGTTCCTCTGGTGGATCAGGACCCCTGACTCATTACCCTGTGCACTCAAACAAGAACAAAGATAAATGCATACTGGGTTGACCATGAACTTGATTTATCTTCCCTCCCGCATTAATCAGGCGGATCCTCCCCTTGTGGGGAACTGCACTGAGGCATTGATTACAAAGTTGCCTTGCTAGGCTTTCTTTTATGGTTCATTATATAACATAGGTCTTTATGGGTTTAGTAGATACAGTTGATGCATTGCCCTCAGCTGGTCTTTGGTCGGCTGGGAAGCAGGACAGGAAGACGGACCTGCTCATTTCACACCAAGGGCCATTTCTCTTGCCCCAGGTGAGTCATCAGCACTTCCAACAAAGAATCCAGAGACACAGTCCAACAACTTGTCCAGCCACTTGATATCAGATGATGGTCTGTGGAGGTGATTAGTTGGCTGGAGAGCTCAGTGGTTTAGGGATCTGGCTGCAGAGCCAGAGGTTGGGAGTTTGAGGTGAGGGGAAGGGACACCCCCTTGTTCTCCTTGACCCCACCCAGTTACAGAAAAATTATGAGGATGCTCTGCCACATGTCTGGGCCATGTATCCATCAAGACGTGCCCGTGGTGTCCATGAGCTGCCCCTGATACGGCTGTTGGGCTGACAACTAATGTCTTAGACACCCAGCACAATCTGTTGGGGGGATCTCAGCACCCCCTCTGGCCACTCTGCAAGCCCAGGCTGAGGAGATCCTAAGGCGGCAGGCGGCGGCAGTGGACCAAGAGGACCCCGAGGCCGTCTCATCCTCTGGTCACAGGAGAGGCACACTTGCACAAACCGTGCTTTGAATTGTCACCTTTTTTGACGTGGGAATTCCCAGCATTCCTTAGCCATCCCAAGTAATGTTTCCAAGCCATGGACTTTGGAGATTGCTGGGCAGAGGCCAGGATACATGATGGGTCAAGACGACCATCAGATCATGCCAGCTGTGTCTCCTGGGCACCTGGTGGGCCCAGCTGGATATAAAGCTGACACCCAAGCAGGCTTCAGTTACACCAGTCACAGCCTCTTCACCTGGGGTCAAATCCTGGACCACACAGCTCTTACTGGCATTAAAAAAAAAGAAGAAGCTGGGATTTTGTGACTGGCTGGATATAAAGCTGACACCCAAGCAGGCTTCAGTTACACCAGTCACAGCCTCTTCACCCGGGGTCAAATTCTGCACCACGCAACTCTTTCTGGCATTAAAAAAAGAGAAGAAAGGTCACAAGAAGACAACCACCTTCTTGCCTAACAAAACAATATTTTAAGTTCAGTGAAGTTCATTTCCAGCTGATAACAAACAAGTCAGAGTACCAACTGCCTCACAATAATTTGCTAATTAAACCAGGAATCATTAATGATTAACTTGATGGTGCCCCAGAGCATCAGATGTGCAAAGTTCAGGCTGTGGAGCATAAATAAGGTTCCCCTCCTGGCCTCTGGAGATCCTGCTGCGCCCACTGCCAGCCACCATGGAGCCTCTGGGGACGGTCACCCTTTTCCTGGGAGTTTGTCTCTCTTGCCTTCTCCTCTTGGCCGTCATGAGGAGCAGGACGCAGGGCAAGGGAAGGCTGCCGCCGGGCCCAACGCCTTTGCCCCTTGTGGGGAACATCTTGCAGCTGAAGACCAACTTCCTCAGTAAGACTCTCCAACAGGTGAGCTGCAGAAGAAAGGCCTCCCACCACCAGGCTCTCTCTAAGGGGTTGTGGTTTCATGGATGGCTGATTTGCTGACTCTCAGGTTTGGTTTGTTCAGCAGCTGAAACAAGCCTGAGCAAAGTTAGTTTGCAGACAGACCGTGACAGGACAGAGCTTGCAGTCAGTCCAGAGCAGAGAGCAAAAGAAGGTTAAGGGAGAAAAGGCAGGCAGGGTGGGGGGCATAGAAAGGCTGGGTTTGAAGGAAGAGCCAGAGAATGAAAAATGATGCTAGAACGGTGCCTTTAAGGCATCTTCTGCATCTGGTTTATTGCCCAGACAGCCCTGCATGAAATAGTCAGACTTTTTGTGTGATTTAGGAGAAAAGGTTTGCCGAGAGGTCGCTGTGTTAGCCTCGTTCAGCAAAAACAAGAAAGAGAGGCAAACACCTTGCTGAACCTCTGAGCCCCAAACTGTGTTCCTTCTGGATGAAAATCCACTTCAGGAACATTGTGACAAAGTGGTCAACGATCCAACTGAATCCTTGACAATCACTGAAAATATTTGTGTCTCCCCATGAATAGACAGATGGGGAGGCAGAGTCCCTGTGGCTCTTCTGATTTTAGACACTGCTGCAGCCATTGACGATCGGGTTCTGCTGCCTCCAAACCAGTTTCCCAGATTTTCCACTCAAGAGATTATTCTCTTTCCTTCGCTTCCTCTCCTCTTTTGAGTGATCAGCTGTAACAATTTGTGAGATAGAGAGAGGGCTAAGGAGAGTCAAATGTGTGGAACACCGTTGCCAAACTCTTTCTTATTCCCTGACCCTGCCTCCCAAACTTGATGAAGTGGCTTGCTAGGCCAAGTACCGCTCCATCTTTTCCCCCAAGAGATCTTACTTTATTTAATCTTGCATTCGTCTTGCATTCAGAGGTGAAAGTCCAAAAGCTGATTTTGCCGGGCTCTGAGGACAGGCAGGGTTGGACAGCATCAAGGTTCAGTTCCCTTTTGTCCTCTTGAATGGGTGAGTAAGGTCTGTTTTAGTCATTCCCCTGGTTGAATGGAAACGAACGGACCACTTTCAAACTATTAACACTGGTACAAATGTTTTTTATAGTTATTGCAAGCATAACTGGTCTTTCCCTGGTCTTTCTCCAGCTCAGTGAGAAGTACGGCCCCGTATTCACCGTGCATTTCGGACGGTCACCTGTCGTGGTTCTCCATGGTTATGATGTCATTAAAGAAGCTCTGATTGACCACGGAGATGAATTTGCATTCAGGGGACGCCTACCATTTTTTGACAAAATCAGCAAAGGGGAAGGTAGGTTTTGCTGGTTGCTAGTCCTCATAGGAGGTGGGACCATATCCTTCTCTCAGGAGACAGAAGAGACACTGAGATTTAAAAAAAATGGGGATAGGGGATATCAGCTCACACAGAGTGCTATTCAAGGAGGTCTTTTAGCAATCACAGCCAGGGGGGCAAAGGCTGTCAGTCCCAATTTGGGTGCATTTGGTCAAATTCCACATGCATTTTCTCCCTACCCTTGTTTCCCATTGTGCTGTGAGATGCTGGTCTTGATCTCACACTGGAATTCATATATACTATTTACAAATTTCCTCCAGATGTACAGGTTTATTTACATGCTTTTCAACTAAACTTCTTCACTTGTTTTTTTTCTTAAAATAATCCAGTCTAAGAGTGATAACATTTGAGTAAGACAGTCAAATTATGCAAACAAATCAGGTGGCAGTATTTATTTGTTTGTTTGTTTGTTTGTTTATTTAATATCCCGCCTATCTAGTCGGTTAGGACCACTCTAGGTGGCTTACAACAAGAATATTACAATGTAATTAAAAGCAATTATAAATAAGAGGAAAAATTTTGGACAAGATGGGACAGACACTACGGAAAAGGAAAGAAAGAGAAAATCGGGATTTGGCTGAGGGGAAGGCCTGCCGAAACATCAGTGTTTTAGTTGATTTTTAAAAATACCCAGCGAGGGAGCCGCGCGAATATCAGGGGGAAGGTTATTCCAGAGGAGAGGAGCCACCACCGAGAAGGCCCGATTTCTTGTCTTTTCTTTCCAGGCCTCCCTCAGCGTTAGGCTCCTCAGCCTCACCTCCTGACTCGCGCGAGTGACACGGGTAGATCTTGGTGGAAGTAGGCGTTCCGCCAAGTATCGAGGCCCTAAGCCGTTTAGGGCTTTATACGTAAGCATCAACACTTTGAAGTTGATGCGGAATTGGATGGGCAGCCAATGCAATGCTGCCAGAGGGGGTGAAATGTGTTGGTATTTTTTCACACCACTGAGGAGTCTGGCCGCAGCATTCTGCACCACCTGAAGTTTCCGCAGTAGCCTCAAAGGCAGCCCCATGTAGAGTGCATTACAGTTGTCTAATCTTGAGATTACGAGCGCATGGACCAAGGTAGTGAGGGCCCTCACATCGAGATAGGGCCACAGCTGGGCTATCCGCCTAAGGTGGTAGAAGGTGGTTCAGACCATGGACGCCACCTGGGGTTCCATAGTGAGCGCGGGGTCCAGATGGATCCCCAAACTGCGGACCCCATCCATGGCAGGGAGGGTCACCCCCTGAAGGAGAGGGAGTTTCCCAAACCCCCCACTGTGGGGACACCCACCCTCAGTACCTCCATCTTGTCCAGGTTCAGCCTCAGCCCGTTCTCCTGCATCCATTGCAGTATGGTCCCCAGGCAGCGCTGAAGGGACAGAACGGCATCTCCTGCGGTAGGTGGAAAGGAGATGTACAGCTGAGTCATGGCCAAAGCTGTGTGCCCACCTGTTTACCACTCTTTGACTTAAGGACTGAAAAAGGAAGTCACTTCACTACTTGGCCCAAAGAGCTAGAAAGCACCTCTCACAGCAGCTGTTTTAGGGACATGGAATCATAGAATCATGAAGTTGGAAGAGTCCCTGAAGGCCATCATGTCCAACCCCCTCCTGCTCAAGGCAGGGATCCAAATCCAAGGAGATCCTGCAAGGTGATTGTCTAAGTTTCTCTTGAAGGCTCCAGCGTTGGAGCACTGCTCACCATCTCTCGAGGTTGTGGGTTAGGGTTAGGGTTAGGCAAGGCCCAGCAGATGGCCACTTATCTCACTACTGAGGCAACTGCCCTGCTTGGACTTCCACTGTTCACCATGGAAGCCCAAGCTTTCCGCTGGTTACTGCATTTTTTTTTTTTGTTCCCCAGTATGACTTCCCTTCACTGAGAACTCTCAGTTCTAGAATGCTGCCCTCGCTCTGTGCCTCTGTGAGGAAGGTGGTCTGTGACCATTTTCATGGCTAGAGGGGCACAAGGTGCACTTCATGGAGGACCTGTGGAGGAGAAGTCAGCATAGTGTCACGTTCCCGGGGGTAACAACAGCCGAGGTCCGATAAGCCAGTCCAAAGTCAGGAATACAAGGAATGTAAAGCCAATATCCAATTACCAAACCAACTCACAGAGCGTAGTCCAAGGTCAGAGACCAGAGTCAAACACCCAACGTAGTCCAAAGTCAGAGTCCAAGATCCAAACACACAACGTAGTCCAGAGTCCGAGTCCAGAGTCAGAAATACAAGGAATGTAAAGCCAGGTTGTAGGAGCGTGGATGTAAGTCAGAGGTTTTGACTTGTTGCTTCCACAGAATTCTAGCTGACTAGGAGCTGTTTTTATAGCAAAACAGCACCTTGAGCTGCTGGAAGCCTTTCCATCCTGTCAATACACAGGGCTAGTTGAACGGATGTTTCTGTGGACAGCCTTCGAGTGATCCTCTGACCTTTTTGCCATAAGTCTTCCCCGAAGCCTGGCCCAAAGCTTATCTGCTGGGGAAGGAGAATCTGGAGGTGATTCAGGGGTTTCTGATTGCTCAGCCTCAGTTAACCCTTCTGGTTCCAGGTCTTCAGCTGCACTCATGACACATAGCTATCTCTTGCTCACAGGCCACTGGATTTGAGCAGTGGCAGGGCATTGGCGACAGGGTGGCAGGGGGAGGCCCTTGTCCTGCCCCAAGGCTACAGGTCTGTTCTGCTGCAGACGCAGCACATAGAAATGCAGACAATGGGGAGGAACATTGCCAATGAGTTCCTGTGCACGCTGCAGAAGTGGGCACCAGAGGGGAGGACACCTGTGGCCACATGATGACAGATGCTGGGTGGAACATGTTGGCAGCACTTAATGCAGCGGGCTTTGATGGCAACGTATGCATGGCGCACAATTTACAGCTTGAGCCAGACATCCTGGAGAGTGAAGTCAAGTGGGCCTTTCTAAGCTTGGCTAACAACAAGGCGAGTGGAGGTGAATGCTTTCCAGTTGAACTATTTAAAATCTTAAAATATGACCCTTAATGAAGGTGCTACACTCCATATGCCAGCGAGTTTCGAAAACTCAGCAGTGGCCAGAGGATTGGAAAAGATCAGTCTACATCCCAAAGGGCAGTGTCAAAGAATGCTCCAACTACAGTACAATTGCACTAATTTCACACACTAGCAAGGTTATGCTCAAAATCCAGTGTCACCAACCCAACCAACATGAATTTAACCCAACTCTGGGAAACAGTGGAAGACAGGAGGGCCTGGCATGCTCTGGTCCATGGGGTCATGAAGAGCACATTCCCAATAAGCTGCACCCTATTCATCTACTGGTGCTGCTGGTGCTGTTGCAACCTCAGTTGCCTCCTGGGGGCAAACCTAACTAACTTTGCAGGCAAATGTGATGTTACTGAAGGAGACAAGAGTCGGCTGCCTTTTGCCTCAGTGCCCAATGGTTGAAAAAGTCAATGTTGCTGGCCATTTAACCAGTTTCCCACTCCTGTAGCTCCTTCCACTTGGGCTAAGTTCCAAAGGCCTCCCTGCTCATTTGGGCTTGATTCTCAAATGCTGCCTGCTTTATACATCTCAGTCCCCTCTCAATGCATCCCACCCTCCCTGCCAGCCAAAAGAGAGCATGTTTTAGTTCTTTTTGGAGATTGTCTGTATCCCACCTTGATGCCAAATGCATCCCTCTTCCTCATCCATGTGGCAGATATCTGCCAGTACACCACCAGTGCTGCCCCCAATGCCACCCTATCCACTAATAATCATGTTGGTACCTGGAATGTCTGAATCCCACAACTGATCCAGCCTGGAAAATCAGTTTCCTGCTGCCAGCTACCTCAGTGCCCGACAGGGCAACACATGCTACTTTGCTGCTAAGTGCTCAGTGCCTCAAGCCTCTGTGTGCCTGCCAGAGACAAACCACGCTACCTCAGTGCCAAAGATCTCTCATTCTGTTGGGGTGAAATATAACTCCCTCAATGCCATGGGCTTCTGTGCCACATGATAAGCTATCCTTCAGGGACCCCATTTGTGGGTGAATAATGCAGATATCCAATATCCAATATTCACCAAACTTGGCAGGTGTGTTGGGGAAAGACCGAGGAAGCTTTGCCAACTACTGCAGTGCCCAATGGGGCCACGGTCTACTTCGGGGCAAAATAAGCTATCGTGGTAAGCTATCCTGCAGGGACCCAATTTATGAGTGAATAACTTGGATGTCCGATATCCAATCTTCACCAAACATGGCATGCTTATTGGGGGAAAACATAGGAAGCTTTGGATTCTCTAAGTCCCTGGGAGGAGCTTTCCTGGGGGTGCCCTCCTTGTGACTACATTATTCAGCCTTTTGTTATCCAATGTTCACAGAACACTATGGACTTGTAAAAATGTGTCTGAGGAAGCTTCCCTGCAAATTTGGTGTCTCTAGGTGGTTGGGCTTTTTAAATGAAGATGAATTGATGAATAAATTCAATTTGCTGAAGAATATTTGTAAATTCATATTCATTGATTCATTAACCTTGATGTTTTTAGATGCATTTATTTGTATACTATATGTGATACTTTATCCTACAGATATACACAAATAAATTAACTTTTTTTAAAATATATATATTTGGAATGGATCTGGGGAATGACAGAACCCTTAATCTTTTAATTCGAGAGATGAAGTAAAAGGGATAAGAACGTAAGAGCTATGGCTGGACAATGTCTGCGAAGCAACCAACATGAACCTGACACAACTCCGGGAGGCAGTAGAAGACAGGAGGGCCTGGCGTGCTCTGGTCCATGGGGTCACGAAGAGTCAGACACGACTAAACGACTAAACACACACACTCTTTTGAAACTTGGAGATTGTACATCCCCATCATGGCTTATGACCTGCAATGGACTTTTCTTCCAGGAATCTCTCCAATCGACTTCTCAAGGCATCTACTCAGATGCCATCACCACATCCTGTTGCAAGGGGTTCCACAGACTAACAACACATTGGGTCAAGAAATGTTTGATTTAGTCCGTTCTCACTCTCCCTCATGCCCCTCTCAGGTGCCTTTTCTCTAGACTAAAGAGCACCAAACACGGTCGCCTTTCCTCATTAGGGAGCCCTGCTATCATTTTAGTCTGCACCTTTTCCAGTTCCACCATGTCTTTTTTGAGGTACGGCAACCAGAAATGTATGCAGTACTCGAGGTGCGGCCTTACCATCATTTTATCGCCTTTCCTCATTAGGGAGCCCTGCTATCATTTTAGTCTGCACCTTTTCCAGTTCCACCATGTCTTTTTTGAGGTACGGCAACCAAAAATGTATGCAATACTCGAGGTGCGGCTTTACCATCATTTTGTACAATGGCATTATAACGTTGGCTGTTTTATTTTCAATCCCCTTTTTAATGATTTTCTGGATGTATCCAGAAAAGATCACACTGAAATATAAACTAGTCTGTAAGGTGCCACTCTGTCTTGTTTTTGTTGTTGTTTGGTCTAGAGATGCTTGCATGATTAGCGTGGTTTGTCATTCCGGAGAACTCTAGCAGAGTAGGCGAGCAGGTTCTCCGTAAAGCCAGTTTTGGGGAAAATATGGCCTTCCGAGATAAAAGGAGTGACCCTTTTGGCAAATAATATAGGAAATGGGATTCAGATATTCACATCCGCATGCCTAGTGTGGTCTTTCTCCCTGGTTCCAGGGATTGTTGCCAGCGATGGGGAAAGATGGAAGGTGCTCCGGCGCTTTGCCCTCACTACCCTGCGCAACTTTGGGATGGGAAAGAAGAGCATCGAGGAGAGGATCCAGGAGGAAGCCCAGTATCTGCTGGAAAAGCTCCAGGACACAAAAGGTAGGTCAGGACCACTGACCCCTCCCCTCAGTCATTTTCTTGAGAAGGGGCCTGCCTAAAACCTAGGAGATCAGTCCTGCTTTGAAGGGTTCTTTAAAGTCCTGTCAAAGCATCACTGATGCGCTGTGTCAGTCAGTAACCATGAAAAAGAAATGGAGAGCTATGCCTCCCTTCCCCTCCAAAGGAAAGCTGAGTAGATGATTTTCATTTATGTTCAATGGAATCTCCAAAGGGCCGGCAACCCACCCACTGAATGATCTTGACAAATCTTTACCTTTAGAAAGGAAAGAAGCTCTTGATTGTGCTAGGCAAAGTCTCTTGATGTGCAGTGTGGTTTTCAGACCTGAAACCACCCAGTTTCTCCTTGTGGGATCTAAGCAACCTTAAGGGACCCTTTTCACACAGAATCAGCCAGCCCCAACTCAGTGATCTAGCCAAGCCCTTAGTTGCCGGTTTATTACTGGTTGTTCTTGCATTCTTTAGTATGCCATAAATCTGTATGCTAGTATTTATTTTAGGGAGACAAAGTCTATGGATTGGGGAGGTTCCATCAAATTTTGCAAGGTTTCTGCAGAACATTGTTCTTGCTTTCTGCAAAAATCCCTAATCCTTTGTGTTGCTTCTGGTAGGTTGCCTGATATCTCTCAGGAATTTCTGCCCTTGACTTTGGGATGGTTTTTCTTCCTGTTCAAAGGACTGTCACCGTCTTCTGGTCAAACAAACATTTTTCAACTTCTTTTTCTAAGCATTCTTTTCCCAACTGTGTGACATCTCGGTTTATCCATACAAGGTGTTTGTGGTCTGCTCTGTTTTGTTCTATCAAAGCATTCTTGATGCACATCTCTAGAAGCTGCACCTGGCTTTTGTCTCCAGGCCTGTTTTTTTTGTTCTTGTTCTGTTTTTTGACAATCGTTAGAACATGCACACAATATCATTATATATACATTTTTTTTTTCACCCATTTCTTCTGCCCTGCTGTTTTCTTACATGTGTTGTAAACAGCCCAGAGTGGCCTTGGAGCCAGATGGGCAGTATAGAGGTTGAAGAAAGGAAGTAAGGAAGTAATTAACTTCTTTTGAAATTTTCAGTGATCTGTTAATGATGCAATAAAGATTTATTTACTTACTACCATTTCAAGGGAGGAGACAGCTGTGGGTTCTGGCTGGCTGGGCAAGGCTAGTGGAATGTTTTTGTTCTTCCAGGGAAGCCGTTTGACCCCACCTTCCTGCTCAGCTGTGCTACTTCCAACGTCATCTGCTCCATTGTCTTTGGCGCCCACTTTGATTACCACGATGAGAGGTTTCTAGCACTCCTAGACATATTCAATGACAACTTCAAGATTGCAAGCTCTCCTTGGGCACAGGTAAGACCCTCGTCCGCTTGGTCCATGAGGTGCTGCTGCGTGACCTTTTATTGGCCTTACGCCTAGAGGGCTCCCCTGTGGTCCCACACATAGGTGATCCTGAGAGATGGGGAGGAGGGGCTCCTGCCCTCAAAGGGTTGACAGTCTACCTGGACATCATGACAAGAACGGCAGAGAAGACAACAGAAGGGTCTTCTGTTGGAGGCCAAGGGTCTTCTGTTGCGATCCAATGTCTCCAGCTGCCAGGCCCCTCACAAAGGCCAGGCACACGGGAAGAGGCCCGCAAGTTCCCTGTCATGCAGGATTTGGGTTTTCACCACCCGGTTTTCGAGTTCAAGGTATATTGGGTAGATCTGTGTCCTTTCCTGCAGAACAAGGGAGACTTTGTGGATCTTCCTCCCCTCTCCCTTCCGAGAGACCTAGAAAAGTCGTAGCCATGATTACAAGGGCCACTGAAATGGCCACAAAGCCACTGGACCTTCTTCGGCAAGCACCCTGGAGGGGAAAAGGGACGGTTGACACCAGTGACCAGGAAATGTCTCTTCTGCCTTGCCTTTCAGATGAACAATATCCTCCCGTCTTTCATGGACCTCATTCCTGGGCCTCACCAGAGAATAACCAAAAACGTTGAAAGATTAAAAGAGTTTGTTTCCAAAGTGGTGAAACAGCATAAGGAGACTCTGGATCCGAGTGCCACCCGGGATTTTATCGACTGCTTCCTTATTAGAATGGAGCAGGTAAGTTTGAAGGCAGAGCCCGTGGTCCAAGGGAGTGAGAATCTCAGCTGTGGGCTCACGCGTCAAAGGGGAGATCCTTGGTCTGGGGGGGGGAAGCTAAGAGGACTGGTCGTCAGTGGACCGAGTGCCCAGGGTGGGAGGCTGGCCCTGCAGCCTCGGTGGCACCGCCAAACACTCGGAATGCGGCCGACCAGCCTTGGCACCAGGGAGGGAAATGCCAGGGGCTGGTGGGCTAAACGCACCTCACACACAGAAACTCCGCTGCCACCTCCTCCACCGGCATGGCTTGCCCTGACCTGGCGCTCCCCTTTGGGAGGCCTGGAGAAGAGTCCCAAGGCATCATCTTGTGCCTTGAGAACCAGGCAACCCTATTTGCCAGCCTGGCACACAGCTCTACTCACCTGGCGTCCTTGGGAGAAAGAAAAGGAGACATCCATTCCGGTTCATAGATTGCCAGGATTTGTCTGCTTCCTCTCGCCTGAATCTGAGGGTAGCTCCGGATGCCATTTTCAGTCAGGAACACATATGTTTATGCTTGTGTACACTCACCACATCAGTGTGGAAGAGATTGTAACTCTCGAATTGGCCTCCTCAGCCACACTAGATGCTGTTCCAAGTCCTCCATACAGAGCACGCTACCATAGTCTTTCGAGACTGAAGGATGCCTACTACTACTACTCACCACATGAGGAGGAAGCAGGAGAGTATGTGTTGTGGTGGATCAGTAGGTGGGGAATCTCTTGGGAAACAGGAACAGAAGTCAGAATGATGATGAGACTGATGGGCCAACTCTGAAAATGTCAGTCTAGCAACACATGCAAGAAGGAAGTAGAGGTCAGACGATCAAAGTGGTAGACTAGCCTTTGCTGACCTCTCCTTCCCAAGCCTTCTTCTGGTCATTTGGGCTTCCGAGCTGCTACGAGGTGAGGCTTGGCCTATGCCACCTTTGGAAGCTTACGGCCTGACTTGTGCACTTAAAATATATTTGATAGTTTGAAACACCCATCAATCACAGTGACAGATAATCTCTCCTCCTTATCACAACAATACACCCACAACAAAAACACACTACCAAAATCAACCATCTCCTGGAAAGGACAAAAGCTAATCCAACAGCTATAAATACTTAACTCCCAGATTGCATCGGAGCACGGAGTGCTACTCCTGTCCTCTCAAGATGCCCATGGCCACAGAGACTGGCGAAACGTTAGGAAGAACAACCTTCAGAACACAGCCAAAGAGCCTGAAAAACCCACAACAACCATTATTTTATTTTATTTTATTTTATGGGCATCATTGGACAGGTTCCGTGCTGCTTTTCTGCCAATTTGAACCTCTCCTATTTGTTACATAGTTCATATATTTTTATCAAGCTCAGTTAAGTTGGCGGCACTGATTATGCCTCATGTTTCTTTAGGAAAAAAAGAACGGCGCATCAGAGTTCACCCCTGAAAACCTGGTGGCTTCCGTACTTAATTTGTTTGCAGCTGGAACAGAAACAACCAGCACGACCCTCAGATACGGGTTCTTGATTCTCCAGAAATACCCGGAGGTAGAAGGTAAAACAGGTTCTTCAACTGCCTGCTGCCATCTCAGCTACGTTCCCTCCTTTCGGTGGTCTCCACTTTCACGTTCTCGTACGGGCTCTTGATTCTCCAGAAATACCCAAAGGTAGAAGGTAAAACAGGCTCTTCAACTACCTGCTGCCATCTCAGCTACGTTCCCTCCCTTCGGTGGTCTCCACTTTCACGTTCTCCATGTCTCATCATGGCCCCATGGAGTTCCTGCCTTGCTGCCTGGGTGATTCCCAGAAATGGCAGGATTTTGGGTAATCATGGAAATTAGTATAGGTGCCAGTGAGTAAAGAAGGACAGTAAAAACACAAGGCAAACCAGGAAGGATGCACCAGAACCACCACCAGAAAAAGAGGTGGGAACGGGGACGCTGTTGTGGTTCAGGCAAAAGGCTTTCTTCAGGGAAGCTAAGTATTCAGAAATATTCTTCCAGAATACTTGGAGAGAGTTCTGCTTCCAGGATTCAAAAGCAGAGAGCATTATCTGTTTTCCCCTTCAATAAAAGTAGGCACCCAACTCTTCTGAAGAACACCTGTCATCTGAAATATGTTGGGCCATGAAGAAATAATGACTTGCATCTCTGGGTGCAGCTTCTTTGTGGGGGGTGATCGTCTGAAATATGTTGGGCCATGAAGAAATAACGGCCGGCATCTTGGGGTGCAGCTTCTTTGTAGGGGGTGATCAGGGAATAGAGCTGGAGAATGGAGACTATTCAGAAGAAAAAGTCACATAGAGGACCCCCAAGCCCCCCATACATCATATATCCTGTACTGCTGTATTTCTTTCTTTCTTTAAACTATTTTACCCTGCCTTTTAACTTTAAAAAGGTTTAAATCCACAAAAGACAATATTAAAGCTTCCATGGCATGTCAGGGCACTGATGCTGAGCCTTTCCCATCCCTTTCCAGAGAAAGTGCATGAAGAGATTGACCGCGTGGTCGGCCGAGGCAGGGCGCCGTGCATAGCTGACCGCGGCCAGATGCCTTACACAGATGCCGTCATCCACGAAATCCAGAGGTTCATCTCTCTCGTCCCACTGAGTCTCCCCCACTCAGTGGCCAAAGACACCCCTTTCCGACAATACGTCATCCCAAAGGTACCGGCTCTGCTTTTAGGGCAAAACAGGAGCTCCTGTGTGACTGAGGGGACTGATGTAGGCACATGGATCTTGGCAGGGCTCAGGGCTGTGATTCTGTCTTGCCAGGAGCCCAAAGGTTGGGCTTCCAAGGGGCAAGTCCTTTAGACGTGGCCAAAGAAATCGGGGTGCATATTAAATTTTGTTCACCGTGGTTGATATTTCTACAGGTCATAAGAATAGAATCATAGAAACATAGTAAAGTGAAGTTAGAGGGGGCCTACAAAGCTATCAAGTCTAACCCTGTACTCAAGGTGATTATCTACTTTTGTTTAGCATAGGCATCCTTCAGTCTTGAGAGACTATGGTAACATGCTCTGAATCGAGGAGTGTCCTCTCCAGAGCATGAAGCCCGGGTAAGGTAATATGAAGGATAAGCTGTTACCCAATCAGCAGATCCCCCCTCTCCACATTGCTGAAATGGTCCAATGGAAAGGCAAGGGCCAATAAAACTGGTTCCAGCAACGTCACAGGAGTTGGCAGAACGACACATGCTGCCTTCGGGACTCCAGCTCCGGATTTTGCCTCGAGGTTAACTCCCCGGCTTATACAAATCTAATTGGCTTTCCTATTTACCATATTAAGGTCAGATACAAAATTTGAGACACGCTCTTTTGAAACAGGAAGTCCCACCCCTAGGCCCCACCCCCAGGCCATGTGGTCAGGAGACAAAAAGAAAGCCCAGGAAAAAAACCTCAGCAAGGCATCCATGCAAACAGACCTGGCCTTCGCCCTCAGCCCAGCTTCCTACGGAAAAGGGTCCAGTGTCCTGGGACATGGATTGA